CAGGTAAATAGGGGTGGGGTGGAGGGGGGGTCCCGTCGGGTCGATCCTTTGGAGTATGGAGCTCCAGATGTGGGATGGTTGGTTGGTTTTTCCCGGAAAGATCCTCTCGGGGGGGGGGGGTTCCCAGAAAACCCTTGGCTGGCCGTGGAAACGCCGCCCCCGCCCCGGATAGCTGCGGCTGGATTCCAGGTCAGGAAGCCCTGGCTGGAATCTGACCAACTTTCCCGAGCTTTAACCGAGATCCGCCCCCCACCCCGATCGTTGGTTTGGCTGGCTGCCGATCGGGAGAGTTAGGGGAAGGGAGGGGGTGTCCCAAGCACATCTGCAAACAGCTGGCTCTCAAAAGAGAGAGGGGGGTCTTTCCTTTCCATTTGGCCCGCAGAGTCTGCTGAGAACTGAATCCTTCGGTTTTCCTTCCCCCGTTGCAAATTTTAAAACATTTTTTGTTCTTATTCCTTCTTTTCTCCGTTATCTGCTGTCTGCGCCGGGAGCGTGCTTGTTTTTTTTTACAGTATTCAATCGGGTTTCAAGGTTTGTGCAAAAACAACTACCCAAAAAATAGCGTGAGCAGCATAGAAATTCGATTCAAAGCCAAAATTTAACTGGGGGGGACCCTGAGCCCATCCTGGACCATGGCTTTGGGGGGGGGGGAGAACAACCATTTTTTAATCCTTTCCCGAGCCCCACAAGTTGGCGAGAGAAGCAGGATGCCATGATAGAGGGCATTTGGCATTAAACACAGGTGCTAAATTCTCGTAAACTACCCTGCCTGAATATATAAATAAAAAAGGAGGCTTAAAGTCAACCTGCTAAGTTGTTGAACTAAGTGCCCACGAGATGCTGAAGGCTGCCAACACAACAGGGCTAGAAATCCACGGGGGGGGGGATTCGAACTCTGTGCTGCCCTGTTGCTGGGCAAGCTTAGCCTGGCCTGCATGGAGCCAGCCATTCAATGGATGAACCTAGCACCCACTTTTAGCCCTTGTTCCTGGGGGCATTTTTAAAAAAAAAAGCGTTAGCAAATCCAAAGGGTATTTTTTTCTACTCTGTAGACATAACCATCTGTTAGCTGTCTGTGGCAGAAAACCGAAGTCGTGGTTTTGTTTTCGCGTGTCGGGAGTATTTGTCTTTCAAGGGAAATCCTGAACATTGCGGTTTGTTTGTTTAATTTCAAAAGGTTTATTGGTTGATCAAAATATAAAATGCGGGAACACGAAGAAAAATGAAACTACAGTGGCCAAATAAGGGAGGAAAGAGAGAGAGAGAGAGAAATGTGTAGGGAAGCGAGGGAGAAAAGGAATAAAAAGGCATTGATTTCCAAATAATTTTTGTGCAGTAGAATAAGGGAATCAACACGAAACCTCAACGTTTTACTCATATAATAATATGTGTTAGGGACACGGTGGCTCAGTGGCTAAGACGCTGAGCTTGTTAATCAGAAAAAGTCAGCAGTTCGGCGGTTCGAATCCCTACTGCCGCATGAGCTCCTGTGATTTGTCCCAGCTTCTGCCAACCTAGCAGTTCGAAAGCATGTAAAAAATGCAAGTAGAAAAATAGGAGCCACTTTTGGTGGGAGGTTAACAGCGTTCCGTGCACCTTTGGTGTTTATTCATGCTGGCCACATGGCTACGGAGACGTCTTCGGACAGCGCTGGCTCTTCGGCTTTGAAACAGAGATGAGCACCGCCCTCTAGAGTCGGGAACGATTAGCACATATGTGCGAGGGGAACCTTTACCTTTAATAATATGTAGAGCACAAGCCAGATCTATAACAATAAACATAGAAAATCCTGAACATTCAATAGAGGATCTTCTCCACCCTGGATTAAATTGAGAACTAACACCAGTAGATCTACCGATCTCTCTTCTACGAAAACCCCCGTGTGTATGAAAGTGAGACATTTGACTAGGCTTTCTTGACAATAGTTGTCAAAGATGGATTCAAAATAACCAGGCTACAGTCTCATTCCACCCCCCACCCCCACCCCATCCTGGTTTCAATTTCCAGAAAACTTCACCCTGAGAATGTGATGAGGAATGCAGGAATGAAGGTCCACCATATTTGGAAAAGACCAGGAGGGAGGAATCTATTGTGAAAAGAAGAGGGGGGTGGGCAGGAGAAGGAATACACAGTGGATTTTAGATCCTTTAGCTCCACTATTTGATACACATTTGATGTCTTGTTTCTGTGCCTTTTATGCACTATGTTGCATTTGGCTAAAGTGTCTAATTTTCTTTTGACACCCCCCCCCCAAAAAAATAAGCACTTGGCCTTATTCTTGGGGAGAGCTTTATTATTTTTGAGGTGTAGGACGCGGCGAGCGTGGCCATCTCATGGCTGCTGCTGTGTTGCAATATTTTTGGGGGAGGGCTGATTTTAGCGCGTGCACTCAAAAATTGATTCGATACACATTTGATACATTGTTTCTGTGAATTTTATGCACTACCTTGTGTTTTGCTACCACGTTTTCCCCAAAATAAGACAGGTTCTTATTTTCTTTCCACCTCCCTCCACCTCGAAATAAGCACTTGGCCTTTTTTGGGGGGGTGGTCTTATTATTTTTGAGGTGCAGGAGGTGGCGAGCGTGGTCACCTTATGGCTGCTGCTGTGTTGCAATATTTTCGGGGAGGGCTTATTATCTGGGGAGGTCTTATTTTCAGAAAAACTGGGTACACCGGATGAAATAAGCTCCCCTGTCATTTTTTTCTTGTTTTTCTTATTTTTATATTTCATAATTTTCTAACAAGTATTGTGTTTCCTCCTTTTCTCTCCCCCCCCTCTACTTTCTAGCTTTCATCCTCGGTTCTTCCTTCCTGTTGGCTCAGGGCCAAACCACCATCTTTTACGACATCTCGATCCTGACGAACCCACCAGAGACGTTAGAAGGGCGGACGGTCAACCTGAGCCTCAAACACAAACCGGCCAATTTTGCGTTCTGCAATTGGTACCGAGCGCTCGACACGAAAGAACACGTGATCGTCACGCACTACCTACCGCCACTCGCTGGGAACACGACAGGGCCTTCCTACACCGGGCGTGAAGTTGCGGGCTTCGGCTGCTCTCTGCTCATTCAAAAGCTAACTTTGAATGACTCCGGAGACTACGTGGTGACCATGAATGGACCTTCGGTGCAAGGGAAAGGCAATGTAAAGATACAAGTCTTAGGTATGGTTTACCTTCTCTGGTGCGGTCTAAGAGCCGAGGTGGCGCAGTGGTTAAATGCAGCACTGCAGGCTACTTCAGCTGACTGCAGTTCTGCAGTTCGGCTG